AAGTCCATAGTGCTCTGAAGGAGGAGGTAATTGCCCCCATGAAAGAACATCATCAATGAGGCGGTAAGTGAAGGCGTATCGCTGAGCAGCTTGGGGATCATGTTGACGAATGTCATCAATAAAGCGTGCTTCATCCTATATCGTCACAAATAGAACTGCCCGGTAAACCGTAGGCAGAGAGAGAGAAGAGGACAACAAACGAGGGGCTGTGACAAACTGTTTCGTCGGAGTTTCACCGACTCATATATATATAATATATATCGTCACAAACAGAACTGCCCGGTAAACCGTAGGCAGAGAGAGAGAAGAGAACAACAAACGAGGGGCTGTGACAAACTGTTCCGTCGGAGTATATATCGTCACATGAATATGAGAGCGCAAAGGCAAAAAAAAACAGAAGAAAACAAGAAAATAATTTTTTTTTTTTTTTTTTTTTAATCTTCTTTCTTACAACTTCCTCTGTTCAGAACCTCTTGCGTACAAGGCCGCCCATGTGGATGTATATAATTTATTAATTTCATTGGTATAGATAATGTTGAAGCTTCAACACTGCGCATTGCGCACGTGGCACGCTCATGGGCAAAATTCGGGGTCAGCTAAAAAAAAGAAAGTTTGGGGAGGGGGAAAATTGAAGTTCCCACGCCCAGCCAACATTAGGACATCGCACACGCAAAATGTTTTCAGGGCGCGCTACCCCAAAAACTGTGTGTTGTCCTGTTTGCTGTACACAGCTCCATGCTATCTTCAGTCCTGAGTCCTTTCCAAGGTCCAATACACTCATGATGAGAACGCGTCTCTCAAAAGGTTGCTTTCCTCTCATTACTTCCAGATATAGAAAACGACAGAACTGACACTTGCGTTTCATTGGTGCCTTTTGCTATTTAGAAAAAACAAAAGAGATAACATCCATAAAAAGTTGAAACCAAGAACATGGCAACATATAGTCGTTATATACATGCACAAAAGACAAAAAATATGGTGGTGTATCTTTCCATGTTCTAGCGAGAGATTCATTCTGATTTTGCACAAATTGGAGAGTAGTCAAGCGAGGCCCTATTACAACGTATCTGCTGCCAGAATCTGTAGGGCCTCACTCAACTACACATATCCATTACAGTGCCTCTGTCACATCGGGACTGCAAGTAATCTTCAAGTCCAACTATACGGTGGTACGATGCAAGGGCTTCACTCCACTACTCATGCACAAAAGACAAAAAATATGCCGGTGTATCTTTCCATGTTCTGGCGGAAGATTCATTCTCATTTTGCACATTTGGCGCGTTGTGGAGCGAGGCCCCAAGCTATCGTTGTATGACCCTCGCTCCACCACTCTCAAAATGTGCAAAATGAGAACGAATCTTCCGCTAGAACATGGTGAGATCCAACGGCATATTTTTTGTCTTTTGTGCATATTGTTACATGCTGTGCCTGCAAGAGGCTGCACGGGCCATTTTCAGGCCCGTGACGTTTTCAGCCCGAAAGCCTGAAAACAAGGGCCTACAGGGCCTGTGTCGTTTCAGCCTGGAAGCCGAAAACAAGGGCCTACAGGCCCTGTGTCATCTCAGTCTAAAACAGGGCCTTCCAGGCCCTGAGCCTTTTCAGCCTGAAACGGAGGGCCATTTTCAGGCCCTCATATGATCAACCTGCCCTGAAACTTAGGCACCAGACCAGGGTTTTAGCACAGGCCATTTTGGGCCTGTTTTCAAGACAACCTTTGGTTGAGCTTCAACGCCAGGNAGGGTTTTAGCACAGGCCATTTTGGGCCTGTTTTCAAGACAACCTTTGGTTGAGCTTCAACGCCAGGGTCTGGCACGTTTTGGCATTGGCAAGAGCAGCCTCCTAGACGGGCCAGCACTATATAGGACTTGCCCGCCCTGCAGGCTGCCGGTAGTTCATAGGGACTTCCCAGGCACTTCACGTGCAGTTCAGGGGGCAGGAGGTAGTCTTGAGGATTCGGCAGCAGCACGCTGGAGGAGCGCTGCAGTAGTAGTAGCGTTAGCAGTAGTCTTCAGCGCTGGGCGCTAGTAGGAGCTAGAGTAGTACTAGAGAGAGAAAGACATTGGGCGGAGGCCAGGGAGACTTACCTCCAGCGCCATAGCTCCAGCTTCGTCTTCGAGGTACCTGCAGCACAGCGCCACCTTCAGAGGTTAGTACCTGGCACATGAGAGAGAGACAGAGTTCTTCTTCTACCTGTTCTCAGTCCACCATCTCCCTCTCACCCTCTCGCTACCTGACTTCACTGCATCCGGAGACTACGAGAGAGTGGGCTTGGTGACATTTGGATCCAGACTCGACATTGGGCTTCAGACATTCGACGCGGGATTATTTGGGACTCGTAACGAAGACTTGGTGTTGACGACATTCTCATCTCCCCCTTCTTCCTCATCTGATCCCCTCCTCTTCGTCTGTGTATGATTCGGACCTGGCACATTCTTCCTGTGTGTAGCGCCAGGCCCCCTTCACACCTTGTGATGAGGATGATGCATGTTTGGTCTGTATTGCGACATTGATTGGGCTAGTCATTGGTATTCTAGCATTCTGCTGCGCTGTCTTGTACTATGTAAGAGAGGTCAGTCCCGGTCAGGTCAGGGCTTATATCTAAGTCTTCCGCTGTGCTACAAGGCGCCATTTTGTATGTATCAGGATGTACATTGCTTGTTGAGATTCCACAGCACTGCGTTGTCCATTCAGTCCTTTTCATCACATTGCAGATCCTTGGCTATATAGATACATCGCCCAATGGGGCACGAAACAGTTGGTATCAGAGCACCGCACGTGAATCAGGACAACCTGTTCTGACACGTGTGAGGGGACTAAAGTAGTTAATTAGTTTTGATCGATTGATTGATTAGAGCATACTAATTAGCCCCCAAAATCACGATTTTCACCTCACTGCCGAAAATTGATTTTTTTTTTCTTTTCTTGGATTTTTTTTTTCTTTTCTTGGATTTTTTTTTTCTTTTCTTGGATTTTGTTTTCCGCCATTTCTGTTGTGAAAAATTGCAATAGCGCAACACCTGAAATTTCCACGTTCATTTTTCTTCTGAAAATTCGAAATTTCGTTGTTGGAAATCCAGAATATCTTTTTTCGAAAATTTCGATTTCCTTTTGAAATTTCCCGTTATTTGGAAATCCAGAATATTTTTTTTGAATTTCCGAAATTCGTTTTTTTTCAAAATGGTACGGGAAATCCCTCTTGCAGTTTTCATTTTCCAAACTGCGCATACTCTCGTCTGAGTAATTCCGATTTTTATTTTTTTTTCGGAATTCTTTTATCAAAAAATCATTTGCAGTCTGGAAGTTTGAAATTGTCCTCATTAGTAATTACTAATTTCCCACTTCAGGGGGAATTGGGAGGCCTACTGAACTTGCAAACGAGTATTTTGTTTCTTTTTCTCGATTTTTTTTTGCAAAGTTCAAACTTTTCTTTTTGATTAGTGGCTCCTTATCTGGGCGATTTACCTCACCCACCCCTCCCCACCTATGTTGTTGCCCCCTCTGGTCTTATCTTCTCTATCTGTCTCCGGGTACCCCCTGCGACGTCATTGGTGAGTTGCCACGTCAGCAGGCCACGTCAGCAGACCACATCAGCAGACCACGTCAGCAGGACACGTCAGCAGCCACGTCAGCGGCAAGGTGTGCCACATCAGCAGTCCTCCGGCCTGGTCAATGCTCACACACTTACAAACAGCCGGCATGGATCAGAAGTCCGGGGAAACGGCCGAGGCCTATCAGGCCCGGCTGCTGGCTTTGATTATCGAAGCCAAGAAACGGCCGGACGAGGTAGCAGCAGCAGAGAAGAAGAAGGCAGAGGACGCCGAGAAGGCACGTCTGTTGGCAATCGAAAAGCAGCGCCAGCAGGACAAGGCAGCAGCAAGGGCTGCCGATGAAGAAAGAAATCAACGACGCGAGAAGATATTCAACGGAGAGTGAGCCTTGCTCACAATGGCAGCGGACTGGCGGGTCGAGGCTGAAAATGGTAAGATGGAACAGAGTGAAAGCAAGATCGCTCTACTCCTCTCCCATTTCACGGATCTCCTGGCAACGTGCATTGCACAGCAGGAGGACATCCACCGCCTCGACGACGCGGTTCAGATGCACAACCAGGCATTTGATCAAGTCAACAGACGCCTCCAGCAGCTGGAGCAACGACCCGTCGCCGCCCCTGATGCCAGCTCCTCCAACACCTTCGATCGCCTCAATGCATTGGAGATCAACGTCGGAACCCTCAAGGACGACGAGCAGCTACAGCAAACCGCCACACAACAACTGGAGCAGCGAATCTGTGCAGCCGCCGTCACACCGAGTTTGGCACCGCGTGAGACGACTCCAAAGTTCAATGGTCAAGAGATCTTTTGCGATTCGACGAAGACGGACCCGATTCCGTGGTTCCGCAAGTTCGAGCTCAAGTTGCAGCTACACCACGTCAGCAAGCACAAGCATCACGCGTACTTATACTCCCGGTCGGGGGGCGCGTGCCAAGCATGCTTGGACAATCTCTTGTCCAAGTATGGGGTGGTAGCTGCCGACTTGTACACCAAGATCAGCGGTTCTAAGTAGAGTTGTCGGAGATCAAAGCAATGGACAAATTGATGACCTTCGAACAAGGCACGCTGCCGAGTGTTGACTGGATTGCATGCGTCCCAGACATTCAGATGGGCTTCAAGGCCATCAAACACTACTTCATTTCGAGATCGTGTCCGACGTTGGGCAACGCCTTGACTCACGTCGAGGACACCCTGACGACAACGGCGGAGCTCTTCGACAAGGCCGCGCAGATCACTGTCACAAACAAAAAGGCTAAGAACCTCAACCGTTCGTCTGCAACAGGCCCGAGCAGAGATCAGCATCGACCGAAAGTGGCCATGGTCACGGCGGCAACGGCAACCGACCCTTCTAGTGAGGCCGTGTCTGCCAATGAAGGGGACAGACTCGCAGCCGCCCGGAATGGTGGCCGCCCCGTCAAAGGCCGAGGCCGAGGCAAGACGAAGACAAACACCTCATCTATTCCCGGGCCCGGCGCAACAGCTCCAGCCCCATGGTCCCACTACACTCTCTCCGAACGTGCATACAAGCTATGCACGAGACTCCGCTATTGTTTGTGGTGCAACCGCGATCTCCACGACATAGTCGCCTGCCCGTCAAAAGGCAAAGGCAAATCCGGAAACTGAGCACCGCCGGGAGTGAATCGACGACACTCTTGACGCCTTCGGAACAGATCGCTTCGCAGGTGACCGCCCTTCGTTCCGAGGCACATAAGGAAGTCGATAGTCCTCCTCTTCTATATTCTTATGAGGACTATGCTGCCCGGCTCGTTCCTACACAGTACTCATGCTCAAGGACAAGACGTGTGTGCGGCATCTTCTCCGTCCGGCAGAGGCGACTTATTGTCTTCAAGTGGTTCTTCACGGGATTCGGCGCGCGAGTTCAACATAGAGGTCTTGGACCCGCTCACGTCAGAGGATTGGCTTCCTCTCCCGACCACGGGCCGCTTGCCGAGACCGCAATGCGCAACATTATGCGCTCATCTTCACTCGTATCTATCCTTCTATGCACCACCAACTTCGTCGATGGACGATGAAGCTGCGTTGGGGGACATCCTTGCGTATGTTACCGAGGCGGCCCATGAGTTTCGCAAGCAGCGGTACGATGACAACAACGCACCGGTCTTCTATATCCACATCCAAGTTGGGCAAGCATCCTGCAACGCTTTGCTGGATAGCGGCGCGTCTCGCAATTTCATGAGCCAAGCCTTTATGCAAAGGGCTGGCCTTGGCACACAAGTTCGGAGGAAGGCAAACCCGACGACGATCAAGTTGGCGGACGGCAGGAAGCAGCAACTTATCGACCGCTACATCGAGGCCATACCGGTGTATTTCGCACCTCATGCACGCGAACCGGTGACGTTCAACATTTTGGACACGGACTTCGATATTATTTTGGGAATGCCTTGGCTTGCAAGTGTGGATCACACTGTCAACTTCCACCGGCGGACTCTTACCGTTCAGGACGCCTTCGGCGCCGAAGTGTCGTGTACTATTCCTCTTCCGCACCCTTCGATTCGGTGCCAAGTGGTGACGGCCAAGTCATTCCAGGCTACTTGTGCTTACGAGCAGCCCGACGAAATCGGCCTATGTTTCCTACGGACCGTCGCGGTAGCCGACTCTTCACCCACGGACTTGTCGTCGGACCCTCGTGTGGTGCGGTTGGTTGACGAGTTCGCCGACATCTTCGAGTCACCTACCGGTATGGTGCCGGATCGGCCGATCTCTGACGAGATCATTTTTGAGGTCAGTGTCGTGCCACCGAAAGGTTGCATTTATCGCATGAGTGAGGAGGAGCTTACGGTCCTCCGCGCGCAACTCGATGACTTGTTGGACAAGGGTTGGATCCGCCCTAGTAGCTCCCCATATGGAGCGCCAGTTCTCTTCGTACGGAAGAAGAACAAGGATCTACGATTGTGCATCAACTACCGCAAGCTCAACGCGCAAACCGTCAAGAATGCGGGGCCTCTTCCTCGTATTGACGATCTCCTTGAGCGTTTGGGTGGCGCGAAGTACTTTTCTAAGTTGGATTTGAAGTCGGGATATCATCAGATTTCGATCCGGCCGAACGCTCGCTATAAATCCGCCTTCAAGACGCGGTATGGGCATTTTGAGTGGGTGGTCATGCCTTTTGGCCTCACCAATGCCCCGACGACCTTTCAAGCGGCAATGACCAACGAGTTTCGTTCGATGTTGGACCGGTTCGTGCTAGTCTACTTAGACGACATTCTCGCCTATAGCCAAATATTGGAGGATCATCTTGAGCACTTTCAACGAGTGTTGGAGATGCTCCGCCGCGCCAAGTACAAAGCCAACCGCGACAAGTGCGAATTTGTCCGGCAAGAGCTGGAATACTTGGGCCATTTTGTCACAACGGAGGGCATCAGTCCGTTGTCGGACAAGATTCAAGCCATCCAAGAGTGACCGGAGTCGCGGAACGTCACGGATGTCCGTTCGTTCCTTGGCCTTGCCAGCTACTACCAATCAAGGGATACTCGAAGATCGCGGCCCACTTGACCAAGCTTCAATGCGAGGATCGGCCGTTTGACTTCGGAGAGGATGCGCAACAATCATTTTTGGCTCTCAAAGCCGCGCTATTATCTGCGAAGGTCTTGCAAATCTACAACCCGCTATTGCCAACGCGCGTCACTACGGACGCGTCCGGCTATGGCATCGGTATCGTCCTCGAACAACACGATGGCGTGGCACCCGGTTGAGCACTTCAGCAAGAAAGTGCCCGTCGTGCACTCCATTGACAATGCACGCAAGAAGGAACTCCTAGCCTTTGTCCACGCACTCAAGCGGTGGCGGCACTCCCTCCTTGGTCGAAGTCAATTCCGATGGGTAACGGACAACAATCCGTTGGTCTTCTACAAGACCCAAGACACCGTCAATAGCACCATCGCCCGTTGGATGGTTTTCATCGACCAATTCGACTTCTTTCCCGATCACATTTTGGGGAAGTCAAACCGTTTTGTGGATGCTCTTTCACGGTGTCCGGATTATTGTACCGCAGTCTATTCGACCTTCGAGATCGACGACAACCTGCGGGACAGTTTCATCCACGGCTACCAAGCCAATCTTGAGTTTCGCGACAAGTACGCAAATTGCTCCTCTCCTAATCCGGCGCCTTCTCACTACCGGATCCAAGAGGGGTACTTGCTTGTCCACACGCGGGGGAAGGACCTTTTTTGCCTACCGAGTGACTCTCACTTGCGTACACGGCTCCTTGGCGAGTTCCACGATGCTCCCGCCATCAGACACTTTGGAGTCAATCGCACGATTGACCGACTCCGCGAGCGATTTTGGTGGCCCGGCCTTCTCGGCGACGTCACACGCTATTGCAAGTCATGTGAGTTTTGTCGACGCTGCAAATCCCGCAGCCGTTGTTCGTACGGCGAGTTGCGACCATTACTAGTCCCCTTGCGCCACAGGGAAGCGATTGCCATGGACATCACCGGGCCGTTCCCCAAGCACAAGACCGGTGTGGATAGGATTCTCACGATGGTCGACCGACTCACCAAGTTCGCCATGTTTTTGCCTTGCCGCTATCATGCCAAGGGACTGGAGTTGGCCGAGGTTCTTTACGCCGGTTGGATTCGAACCAAGGGTTACCCCAAGGAAATCGTCTGCGACTGCGACACTCGGTTCATGTCCGATTTTTAGTTGGCGCTCATCAAACCATGGGGCTCATCTCTCAAGCCAAGTTCGGCTCGCCACCCCCAAACCGATGGCCAAACGGAGAGGGCGCATCAGACCGCACAGGTTCTCCTTCGCACTCTCATCTGTCCCGACCAAAAGGATTGGGTCGAGCGGTTGCCAGATGTCGAGTTGGCATACAACTCGTCCATCCACCCAGCTATCGGGATGTCGCCCTTCGAGTTCGGGCACGGCTCGCTGGTCACTTCTCCGTTGGACACAATCATTCCACGAATGGCTGAGAGCGACGACCATCTTCTTTTCTTGCGACGGATGCAAGAGCTACTTGTCAAGGCACACGACCAGATGGCTAAGACGCATCAACACATGAGCCAACAGGCCAATCGCCAATGTCTTCCTTGTCCATTCCGCGCCGACGATCTCGTTTGGGTTTCAGCCGCGGAGTTCAGCCTCGAACAAGATATCTCTCGCAAGCTCCTCCCGAAATGGATGGGGCCCTGGCCGATCGTGGCACCCGTTGGGGATGCACCCGAAGGACCTTCCTTCATCATTCAGGTGCCCACCCACTTGCCCGTCTATCCCGTTTTTCATTGCTCCAAGTCGGCTCTTTACACGCCAGCGGAACATGACGAGTTTCCCAATCGACGATCGCAAGACCCAACCTCTATGGACGGTTTTCAAGAGGTCGGCAACATCATCTCCCAGCGACGCTATGGCAACAGGCCGACCGAGTACTTGGTACACTTTGCGTACTGCACTCACCAAGCTAATCGTTGGTTGACCCGTGCGGAACTCCAAGCAACAGCTTCAGATGTTCTCGCACGCTACGAACGCAAGATGCAAGGCAAGTCGGTATCTTCGGCTCCACGTCGCACCCTCGTCCAGGTTCCACCTTCAGATCGTCAGCTTCGCCCTCGACCCGGCTTGACTTCATAAGGAGGGGGGGATGTTACATGTTGCGCCTGCAAGAGGCTGCACGGGCCATTTTCAGGCCCGTGACGTTTTCAGTCCGAAAGCCTGAAAACAAAGGCCTACAGGCCCTGTGTCGTTTCAGCCTGAAAACCTGAAAACAAGGGCCTGAGCCTTTTTAGCCTGAAACGGAGGGCCATTTTCAGACCCTCATAAGATCGACCTGCCCTGAAACTTAGGCACCAGACCAGGGTTTTAGCACAGGCCATTTTGGGCCTGTTTTCAAGACAACCTTTGGTTGAGCTTCAACGCCAGGNAGGGTTTTAGCACAGGCCATTTTGGGCCTGTTTTCAAGACAACCTTTGGTTGAGCTTCAACGCCAGGGTCTGGCACGTTTTGGCATTGGCAAGAGTAGCGTCCTGGACGGGCCAGCACTATATAGGACTGGCCCGCTCTGCAGACTGCAGGTAGTTCATAGGGACGTCCCAGGCACTTCACGTGCAGTTAAGGAGGCAGGAGGTAGTCTTCAGGATTTGGCAGCAGCACTCTGGAGGAGCGCTGCAGTAGCACTGCGGTAGTAGTAGCGTTAGCAGTAGTCTTCAGCGCTGGGCGCTAGTAGGAGTTAGAGTAGTACTAGAGAGAGAGAGAGATTGGGCGTAGGCCAGAGAGACTTACCTGCAGCGCCATAGCTTCGGCTTCGTCTTCGAGGTACCTGCAGCACAGCGCCACCTTCAGAGGTTAGTACCTGGCACATGAGAGAGAGAGAGTTCTTCTTCTACCTCGTCTCAGTCCACCATCTCCCTCTCACCCTCTCGCTACCTGACTTCACTGGATCCGCAGACTACGAGAGAGTGGGCTTGGTGACATTTGGATCCAAACTCAACATTGGGCTTCAGACATTTGACAAGGGATTATTTGGGACTTGTAACGAAGAATTGGTCTTGACAACATTCCCATCTCCCCCTTCTTCCTCGTCTGATCCCCTCCTCTTCGTCTATGTATGATTCGGACCTGGCGCATTCTTCCTGTGTGTAGCGCCAGGCCCCCTTCACACCTTGTGATTAGGATGATGCATATTTGGTCTGTATTGCGACATTGATTGGGCTGGTCATTGGTATTCTAGCATTCTGCTGCGCTGTCTTGTACTACGTAAGAGAGGTCAGTCCCGGTCAGGTCAGGGCTTATTTCTGAGTCTTCCGCTGCCCTACAAGGCGCCATTTTGTATGTATCAGGATGTACATTGCCTGTTGAGATTCCACAGCACTGTGTTGTCCATTCAGTCCTTTTCATCACATCGCGGATCCTTGGCTACATAGATACATCACCCAACTGGGCATGTAACAATCTAGAGTGCAGTGGAGCGAGGCCCTATGTAACTGTTTCCCTAATAAGACAAAAACAAATAAGAAAAAAAAAGGGAAAAAAATGGGCCTATCGGGCATGAAACAAATGCCCTCCATAGAAAATCCATAGTGTCCGTTGATACTGGTGTTTTGTTCGGTCCACACCAGACACAGCGTCTGTATCAACGGTACACACACACACACACACACAAAAGAAAAAAAGGCACATCCACAGGTGCGCACCCATGGGGGTCACTCAGGTGTACTCCAGCGCACTGCCCGTGCGCGCTCAGTGCGCACATGCGCACACATCCCCCGTGAGCGCATGGCGCACAGCGCAGTGCAGCGCACGGGACACTGCTTAAGTGCGCCACAAGTATGATATAGGGGTTGTGACAAACTGTTTCGTCGGAGTTTCACCGACTCATCAGCAGGCTGAACTCTCAACTCTGATTACATTGTAAGTGATAATCCACCTTAACCCAGTTGTGGTTAAGCATCAACGACTGCCCGGCAACTTGTGCCCTGAGGTGGGCACCAACCACTGCCCTCAAGGTACCTGTGACGGAAATAAAGCAAACAAAATAAAGCAAACTCTCTCTCTCTCTCTCTCTCTCTCTATATATATATATATATATATATATATATATATATATATCGTCAAACAGAGCTGCCCGATAAACCGTAGGCAAAGAGGGAGAAGAGGACAATATGCCTCTAGTCCCACCGGCGTGTCTGGAGTGTATTTTTTGGCCGTGACATACCTTTCTTTGTTTCATGGTTGTTTTGTTGGCTTGTTTGTTGGCTTCTTCTCCCTCTCTGCCTAAGGTTTACCGGGCAGCTCTGTTTTACGATATGATAATATATATCTATATATATCTATATGCATGGGTCCTAGGGACCATCTCACGCAAATGTGTACATGTCATGCATCAACTTCACACGCAGTGATCAATAGTATCAACCATAGACAAAGGTAGAAAAGAAGAGGACCGAGTTTCACAACTTATATTATCAGAAATATGAATACAAAGTGTTTCAAAGTTCCCCTGAGTCCAGCGATCATCAGCCCAACACCAATCTCTTATCAACTCATCAATATGGCTTCCAATGTATCAGCGTTACATCTGCAGACAATCTCCAAGTCGTCAATGTGG